GTGGAGGAGAGTGAACAGGAAACAGTGAGGCTCATATCAAGGAGATAAAAGTACAAACGTTAACACATGCTGCATTGATCATGATAAATAGGCAATTTAAATCCAGTGGAGAACGGCAAACTCCGCCACTAACAATAGAGAATGAGATAATCACGGAGTGTAAATACATTAAAGGGCTATTGTAGACCAGAAACAGTGTTTGACTTCTTAACATCTTAAAGACTGCGACTTTGGAGTCGCGTTTAAAACGGCAAATAAAATGTGGAACTGCTTTTTAGTAGTCTGTTAAACTTTGTTTGGTGTCCTCTTGTCCCCGTTAAAGCCTGGAGGCTGAAAACAGGGCGCTACTGTGAAGCGACTGAAGGACTCCCCTCACGGCGCAGACTCCGACGAGATCCATCCACTCCGGGCCCGCCAGCGTGCGTGAATGGACGTTTAAAAGAGCTGGTTTATGAGCTGATGGTCCTACTGATCGTTTAACTTGGCCCTTGAGAAGGCAGTTGGGAGAGGGGGTTGGCGGGGGGGGGGGGGGGGTGCCTGGGATGGGTGAAAAATATAGTCCACACCATCCAAAAGCCAAGTGGCTTAATCCTGTATGGAAATGGTAATGAGGGAAAAAAAAAAAAAAAAGATGACTAACTCTGTCTGTGTGTGCTCTCCTATCCAGGATGGGACGGAGGCCTCTCTAGTGGGGCTTCTCCAGGATGCGTGAGAGGAGCCTTTGTGCTCCAATCTAGTAAGCTAGAAATCCAGCTTTTGAACCATGCACATTGCAAGGAAGCGAGAAATGGAGAGGCAGTTTGGGAGAGAGTGAATGAGTAAGTGAAGAGGTGGGGGGGGGGGGCTGAAGTTGTGTGTGCACATGTATGTTTTATTCGTGGGTGTGTTTTTGCCCGTGTATATATATATATGTGTGTGTGTGTGTGTGTGTGTGTGTGTGTGTGTTTGTGTGTGTGGTGGGCTGATATCAAGTACCTCTTTAAGCCCTGCTTCCTTCTCCAAAGGTGCTTCACTCTTTGTTTCCACGGAGCCCCGCTCTGCTGAATGAAGGCTGGGAAGCAGAAGAGTGGCCTTCGGCAGATGGAGGACATAGGTGATGTGTGAAAAACACGTAGCCGGGAAGCGCGTCGGCGTCTCCGCAAAAAGCCAAATTCCTGAGGTTTATTTTGACGGCATTGACTGGCTTAGTCGATGCCGATCGTCGCGCACATTTGCATGAATCATTTGGGAACGATGCGCTCGTGCCCCCCCCGCCCCGCTCCTCACGTGACGCAAAGAAAAACAGAGTCTGGAAATACATTTAGTCAGCTGAGAAAACACTGTTATATTGTTCCCTGTTTAGTCGGGTGCTTAGGAGCAAACAAAACGGCATCTGTGGTGTGGCTCTATAGTTTTTACGGCGGGCTAAGGCGAAGGAGCAGGGGGTTCAAGTGGGTTTCAGGAAAAAAAACAAAAGGCCTCGATTGCGTAGAGTTTTCCAGCTGAAGTGGCGGCAGTAGAGATCTCATGCATAAAATCAGACTTCAAAATCCGACTGGAACTTGATTGAAACGGTCGAACCTCCCTGACTGAAGTGAAATGTGGTGGCACTCGCGAAGAAATGTCGGATGAACCCCCCTCCTCCACCCCCCGGGGTGCCGAGCTCATCCATGAATTGAGACTAGAAATGGTGGCGCTAAAGGTCCGTGGCTGCTGGGTAATGCAAATCAGTGCCTGCTGTGATCCCCTCTGGTGTTCCTCCTTCTTCCCGAACAACTAATCCACTTAAGTATCACAGGCCTCTCAGCTCTCTCCAAAAAAAACCCTCATTTGTGTAGCTCTCAATAATTTGTTTTCTCCCCCCCCTCCCTCCTCCCTGTGTAATACAACACCAATCATAGTCATTAAAACATTGTTCGGTTACACTGCAGTCAATGGATGCCTGCTCAATACACTGTAATTACCTGCTAATTAGATTATCGGACTATTGTAATACCTCCCGTGTCCTCTCTTCCCCTCCTGTGGAAGGCTCTATCTGTGTGAATGGGATTAGGCTGCTTGTGATGCTTCCTGTCCCACCACGGTGGTCATTTCTCTCCATATACCTCTTTAAGGAGCTAGAGATTTGTCCATAGATTTATGGTTTTAGACCAATTTTGTGCTGCAAGAAATGTTTTTCTTTTGTTCATACCAGACTGAAGGAATTTCTAAAAAATTCACCAATAGGCGCAGAAAGTTTCTGAAGTAGGTTTTTTGAAAGTTGTGATTTGAGCCCACTCGGGTCGTTGGCGCGCTGAATGTCCCTGCAGAATCATTAAACGCATGGAAGTCACATATTCCCCGATGCGATGTTGTTTCAACTATGCACACAGCCGCAGCGGTCTCGTAACACTTAATGCTTACCTTTTGGGGAAAACCAAGGGGGCAAGGAACAATAAGGAAAAGGCAATAAATTCTGATCCTCCAAGTGTTTTGTTTTTTTTACGGGCTCAATCTGACAAAGAAATCAGGGCCTTTTTTTCCACCCTGTCGTCACCAGCAGACATATAGAATATGTGTCGTGGGAGTTTCACTCTATGTTTCAGTTTTCCCGCCAGCTGTCAGCTCAGCGTACGAGCGGAGGGCAGAGGGCCGCCCTGCCACCACGGCTACAGGACAACCTCGGCCCGACTTTCCGAGGAGTGCGCTCCCTGTGAACAGGGAGACAATGGCGGGGCGGCGGCGCGACCGGAGGGACTCCTCTGTGTGGAAAGTTCCAAGTTGCTGCCCGCTGATGGAAACCTGACCCCTCCTCGCACTCGGGTCTCACTTTCGAGCATGTACGGAGGCCAAAAGCTTCGGGGTCGTATCATGTCTTAGTGTTTGTTGTTCCAGCTTTATCTTTTCACACACTGAGCGGGAAGTTTGACACACACACACACCCAGATCAACTCTCCCATCCCGCCCCAAAATCACGAGCGGAATCACAGAGAGCTTGTGCAACAGTCGGGGGGGTTTAACAAGCTGAGGTGAAATTGTTCCTGTCTTGCTGGATCTGAATGACACTATGATGTCACTGTCAGAGAGGCCAGGGGAACCCGAACAGGCACGTACAACATCCATCCTCCGGCCTCTTCCTCCTCGACATCTACCGATAGTTGGAGAGGTTTTTACAGTCAGTAACCCTGGTGGCCTTTTTCTATTAATGGAGAACACAGCTTAAACTTAGTGACTGTATAATCGGTCGCGCCCCCCCCCTCCCCCTTCGGAGCGATCTACACCGGGCATTGCGGGAGCAGTATATCAATACGCTGTCTTCGAGCCAAGACAGATGGACGCTCGTTTGGAGCGGGTTCAGACTTGTGTGTTTTTTTTTCGTGTGAAGCTCCCTCAGGAATAAGTTAAGGGGTTTCCACTGACGCCAAAACCTCCCAGCTACAACAATAACATCTGCGGTTTGGATCAGACGCGTCGGTGATATCACCCACTCAGCAACATGCCTGCATCACAGCGATCGGTGCTTATTGTCTGTGAAGTTTACAGAGGCACGGGATCCAACACAAGTGACGATCCGCTCTGCAGGACGTGGCTGAAGTTCTTTGGCACAAATTATTTTAATTAATTTACTTGCTTAACTTTTCTTTCTTTTTTATGTTACGCTGACAACATTCCCCTCAGAGAATTCACACATTTTCCTGAAGTTGTAAGAAATGAATGTCAACATTAGGAAGGCATAATAGTTCTTTCCACAGTTACCTCAATTATTGTTGCATCTTGCGTAAAAGTGCTGTATAGCTTTACATCACAGCTCACAAACTACGGTGTAAATCATTTTTTATATGTATCAATAAAATATTAAAAAGAGAGAATAAGGGGGTAACACATTTGCAGTAAATGATAAATCATTGTTAATTTGTGTCCTGTCACATTGTCTCCTGTATGTCACACTATGTGACACTTTAAGTTGGTAAACAAAGACGTTATTATAAATGTTAACATACCCTGTATGTATATACACCCCAGACCTCCACAGTGATGAAAGAGCTTTCTCACACATTGTCGATGCTTTGTCCTGATTTTAGTAATCGCCCATCAGCTTCGCTGTAGCTCTTGATACTTTCCAAAAAAAAAAAAAAAACTTTGAGAAAACTGACATTTACTGGAACTTACTAATCGCTGGCCACATATTCTTTGTTTGTTTGAGGGTGGACGTATATGTAATTGGCTCCTTAATTGTTTATGATCTGATGAGGTGACGGGATATTAAAGCTCATATTGGTTCCTTTCCTGACGCCAGTTTTAATCGTTGGATCTTAGATTGAAGCCCAAAACTACGTTGCTGTTCCCCATCATTTTAGAAACATAGATGGAACTGTTTCATGGCTGTCGCTTTAAAGGCACACATTTTTGGTGTGCCTGGTAAAAAATAGTTATAGTTTAACTATATTAAAACTATTTTTTTAAATCTATATAAATAATAGGCTACTCCATATTTATTTTCATAAATGTCATGACTTTAAAGTAAACGATACTGTAACAATTCTCATTGCAATATCGACTTGTTTTGCTCAGTATTAATATTACTGCACCCTGTAATTATCAAATAGGTTCTCAGTCATTTAAAACGGTTAATTTATCCCTCTTAGTCCTTTTAAAACACATACATTGTTCCCCTCTTATCCCCTAACTCTTCTTACATTGTACTTACATACTGTATATGTACCCAATAAGTATTGTATTAATACCCTGTATTCAATAAATGATGTGACACTAATCTAAAGTGTCCTGCAGTTGGTGGGCTTTTCTCTAGGTTATTATTTTTAAGAAATTAAAATGAATTTGTTGGGTAAACTATTTCTTATGCTGTTGGCTTCTACAATACAAATCATAACAACTGATTAAACATTGTATTGCAGCACATTGTTTTGAGTAAATGTAAAATCACGGTAGTTTAAATGTCTGCTTGTGTTTCAAGGAAAATGTTTGATTCAAAAGAGGGGAAGAATTAAAAGAAAAGTCAATTCAGCTGGGATCATCCTCAGTTTTTTTGATTTGTTTTGTTTACACAGCTTTATTTCAGATGAATTAATTTTTCAGTTCTATCGGGCTGTTCAATAGCCAAACACGTATCAATACTTTTCATCACAGCCAGCTACAATTCAATGCAAAAAAAAGTAAAAAATAAACGTAAAAACCACAAAAGCCACATTGTTCTCATGTGTCATTAAATATATTCATTTGTGATAAACATAATATATTAGTATTACAAGACATTACACAACCATTTGCAATGGACACTGCTAAACAACATTTACAAGCCGAGGTATAAACACGAGCAGATAATTATTCAGGTATAATATTCATGGAGTCTGGTGGTTACCGTTCTGAAAGCAATAAAATAAACAGTCGGTACAGATGTGTTGGCAGAGACTATAAGTGCGTTTCAAATACATACAGTATGATGCACAGAGTACTGAGGTGTACCCTTGTATTTGTGTGTCTGTGTGTGTGTGTTTCTGTACTGTGTGTGTGCATAAGCCGAGTCATAGTGTGATCCTCTGGGTTCTCACGTAAACATGAGACATTTCTCCGACATTCATTTATTAAGCCTCTAGTATTTAAAAACTCTGGTTAAGTTCACATGGAGATAGATCTAGTTAATGTTTACCAAAAAAATAATTAAAAAAAGGTAATACTATACAGCTATATAACACGCAGACAATCGCTCGTGCCTTTATGTCGAGTACCAAGTCTTGATAGTGGAATCCAGTCCTCAGAGAGGTCGCTATGAGGGAACATTCGACGCGGCGCGCTGAACCGCACGGCACAATAAACATCTGTGATATTTCATCACTCCACAGGTTATCCTCCCACAACATTGAATACTGTGTACAAATCACATGTGTACATAATTCACAATCATTGTTAGCTTGCAGTCAGCTACAGTAAACGGTGAGCATGCATTGAGTCTGTGTTGCTTGATAGGTCGGTATTCGCTTCTTTTCTTTTTTCTTTTTCAGACAAAGTGAGATGCTTCACTTCTTCCGTTCTCTCATTTGCAAATGTTTGGGACGTCCGACTTACATTTAGGCCTTTGTTAGAGAATAAACGCTATTCTTAACTGTAGTTGCCTCATCAGTGAGGCAAGCAGGGTTTGAACTGTACAGTTGTTGATTTTTTGTGTGCATCATATGTTACAGTATGGGATTTCTTTTCTTTGTGAACATATCTCATATGTTCTAAAACTAGTAAAAATAAGTGCATGGTTGACACGTCTACTCTACATCTAGCCGATGCTATGGCATCATCTACTAAGAATAATGTCTACGTACGCACGTATGGTTACTTGATATATATATATATATCGATAAGCGCCGAGCAGAGACGGGATCAATACTGCAGAGGGAGCAGTATTGAACCCAAGTTGTTTCTCTGAGGCGACCCTCGCATGTCAGCAGGGAAGATGGCACCGGTTATGTTTCCCACAGAGTAAATCCACAATTTTTTTTTCTTTTCACTTTTAGATGTTGACAGAGCTTATCCAAAGTTTGGCAGGTTACAGGAGCAACTTATAATACAGGAGTGGAGTCCCTCAACGCCACGACAAAGTCTCTTCATTCAACTAGACGATGCTTTACACGGCACAGTGGAGATAGATCCTCTTAAAATACAAGAAAGAGTGATACAGTAGATGCATTGCTCTTTAAAACAACTCACTAAAGGGACTTTTAAAAAAAAACAACGGCATCATGGGTAAAATAGTCAGGGTGTGACGTATCTGCAACGTTAGGTGCAAACTCTGCAATTACACGACAAAACGAACCTCCAAAGACGAACAGAAACAGAACAACTGTAGAACGAGCTCCTTCACAAAATGTTCCTAAAAAACAAAAACAAAAAACACTAATCTCTTCGCTCCAACTCAGAGCAGCAGCACTCAGTCATTCCCCCATCTCCTCTACTTTTCACCTGTGTCTTTCTATCTTGTTATTCTTCCAGTTTATTTATATTTTTTTTCATTCATCCTCTCCTCGCATTCATCCCAGCGGAGATGCTGTTTCGCCTCCACTTCCTCCCTCAAGCTCTCCCTTCAATCTCTCGCTCCCCTCCAGCAACTTTTAGCACTTTCCCCTCTTGTCGCGCTGCTGGAACTTCCTCAGCCGGCGGCCCCACAGGTCCTTCCAAGGGATGAGCAGGCTCCCCTTGTCCGCCACCACGCCGCCCTGCCCGGGGGAATCGTCGTCCGTACCCAGGAGCAGGTACTTCCTCCCGGGCTTGATCTTGGGGCATTTGCAGGCCACGTCCTTGGCGCGCACCCACAGCAGCTGGTCGCCGCGGCGGATGCGGTGCTCGCCTTGTTTGTAGACGGAAATGATGTTGACGGTGAACTTCCACCACTCGCCCGCCTTGTCTCCTTTCAGCACGTGCACTTGGACAGCTGGTGGAAGAGAAGAGAGAAGCCGGGGTTAAACCACCTACATGGACATATCATTGTCTAGTGATACCCAAACATACTTGTTCCCCTTGTACCCCTGGGTCCTCTGGGGGCAAGAGGCTATATTTCTGGGGTTCTGATGTAGCCAGGGAATACCCCAGCCAAGACTTCCTTTTCCCTGCAACCAATTAACCAATAAAAAGCTAAATCTGACGATAGCTGGCGGGTTCCATATTGCATTTCTGCCTAAGTGCTCCGCCTCTTTTGCTCTTCACACGGACCGTTTACCTGCATTCAACCAAAGCCTGCTCAAATGATATTGGTCAATACTACTTGGACTACAAAGGGAAACCAGAACGCTTAGAGATTATATATAGTATACTGTATGCACCCCTCCACATATTGAACCAGCAGTAGCACTTGAACACCACATGCTGCATTGAGAGATCTGAATAGTTAAAAGTAACGGATAAAGAGTTTTGTGATTTCAAATGGCAGTAGTACTAAAGCAAACTAAATCAATCCTAAAACATGGACAGATTTATCATAACATCTATTTTTATAAAGGTAATAGTGTTAAAAAACATTCAAATGAACACATTTGGAACATGACCGAGTGTTAACATCTAACAGGGCAGAGGAGTATGACGGACAAAAGAGGTTTGGGAACCACTGGCATAAACTATAACAGCAGACAGATGTCCAGAGGTCCAGCAAAACCTCCCGTATGAACATGACCCAGAATTCGCCGACTTCGCTGACCTTCGACCTTGCCTTGTGATCCTGAGCATACTCCCTATTACGGTTGCCATAGCGCTCCGGGTTCATGGTTCAAGGTTCATGGCCGAGAACATCGGAGAGCACGCTTTCATTACAGGGGCAGAAAAACACTTTTCCTTCAGGTGGCCAGGCTCAGTTTGTGGAGGAAGACGTTGATATTAGGTTCTTTATTGCAAACATAAACGGCCAAAGAAGTTGGTTTTTTTTACTATACAAAAATTGCCACATCTGCTAACAATACAACATCTGAAACAAATCCTTTCCAATCGGTCTATTAGGTGTTAAGCTGGACTCCACCGCAGGCCAAATCAAGCCAAACCTGGTAACTATTGGAACGCCACTTGTTACCGATATCTTCATACCAGGAAATGAGTAAATCTTCCTTCGCAGAGGGTCGCCTGCACCGCTTCTCCGTCAGACAGAGCAGCTATTACCTCATCGCCGTGACTGCAACAAGAGGCAATCGGCTCGGCAGCGATGGAGCTAATCTGTGCTCGAGGTGAAGTGCTTCACCCCGTGGGTTTAGCTCGGAATGTGCTATTAACGCCTAAGCGTGCATGTGGGAATTCGCCCACGACTGTGAGAATGAGTCGAATCTGAAGATTGGATTCGGTGAAAGACTCGAGTGACAATCAGTTGGATGTGGCGCGTATCTTTTATTTATACTATTTATCTGTTGAAGCAATATCTGTGGTTTTTGTTCTCCACACAAGGATCACACCTTACAAAATACTTTTGTCATGACAATATTCTGCCTTCTCATTTTCGCCTTCAGATTGCTCGGTTAAGTTAGCCTTTTCTCGGCCTCTCTGGCTGAACGTGATCACTTTCAGCGCTCATCAGTCGTCCCCCATTACTGCCAAGAACCGGGAGGAGTGGGGTGTTTGAGTATGTGTGTCAATGCACGGTGTGAGCAAATTGCACACGATTTCAGAAGAAAGAAGGTTTGTTGGGCTCGAGTAGAGCGAGCTCTCACAGCCCTGCCATTCAGCGCAGACCCCTCTCCTTCATCCAGACACATAAAGGGTGTGCGAGGGGGAGGAGGGGAGCCCGCTATTTGTCTTCCCAGCCACAGAAAAAGTTCCAGGAGAATCGGGATGTGTTTCCGACCTCATGAGCTGTCCGGGGTTCTGCTCCCAGAGCCTCGTCCAACTCCGCAGCGTGAGAATCCGGCGGAGATAGCGCTCTCCTCTCCAGAGCCGAGGAGACTCGGTTACAGCGTCCAGACTCTCTGTCCGCATCGGCCTCTTTCTCCTTTCTCTCTCTCTCTGTCTCGAGTGCGTTCTCAGTCTGCACAGCATATCGAAACACACACAAATCCACGCCACTCGGTTTTGAGCTAAATGGACAGAGAGACACTGAGAGCACAACAAATCTATTATGAATTGGTGCACGCTGACACTGTTTGGTGAGACGGTTGACAGAGAGACAGAGAGAGAGGCGATGAGTGTGAGATGATCCTGCACTCGCACAATGTCTGCCAACCGGGGGCCTCCCCTCACCGCCAAACTTCCAGCTGGGTTTATCGTCTTTGGGTGGTGTGCTGCAGCTTGACACCGCATGCCACCAACAAGCAAAGGGGCTAATGAAATTAGGGCTCGCTTAATTACCGCGCTGAGGCCCCTGTCCCCTGTGGTTATCAGCTGAGTGAACGATCAGGGACCTGTTACCCTTGGGTGAGCACAGAGGGGTGGCCTGGGAGGGGGGGG